TTCCTCAACAGTTTCAACTGACCCGATCATGTCAGTATCGGGCTCCGTGACGACGGGGAGGGCTTTTTCCTCCCCTTTAGTAGAGACCTTGCTCATCTCCGCGCAGTTCGGAGACTGGACGAGGCCGGGTAATTGTTCGAGAGCCCTCGGGTGGACTCTCGTGTTGTCCAACTTGGAGTTGGGACGCTTTTTACGAACTGGAGGCATGGTGAAAATGCCTGGGCTCGATCACAATTCAGAGATGGATGCGACGAGGTCGAGAAGGGAGGAAAGAGGGAAAAAATGAAATTTCGAAATTCTCGAATTGTGCGTTCTTTGTTCATTAACGTGCTACGTAAAATGACTTCCGTCGCACTCCTACTGGAGCTTGAGCTCGAGTGGGGTCGGGCCGGATCAGTTCAACTACCGTAAAGTACTAGTGTCTCGTCCCACCTAAATGACCGGAACCATGCCAAAACGCATCTGTGTGTTGAATCATGACGAGTTCAGCAGTCCAGATTGAAAACAAACGAAAACTTTCACGCGAAATCTCGCATAACAAAAGAAAAACTTAAATAATCTCCCTTCCATCGTTCCGCCTCAGCCACCACGCGCCTAAGCCTCGATTCCAATCCCTCTTTCCATGCTAAACCACTTAGGCTTTTGATCTATGACCTCCGAGTAACAAGTATCTGTGAGGGAACGAAACAATAGCATTGAAGGGGAGATGAGTTACTCCAAGTGGTGATCATTTGTATTTGGCAGCTGGAGAATGCAATAAGATCAAGGTTTAGATCATTTGGAAAAGCGCTCAGAATCATGTTTCTTCTGTAAAGCAAGTTGTATATAGGTCCTCTACATCTTGAATCTCTTTTTAGATCTATAGTAAATCTTTTCATCATATAGTTTATGATCACGATCATTCATCCTCTGAAAGTATCCCAACCGTCCCCCGACTAGCCTCCGTTTATACTCCGCTCTCATGAACATAGTCCCTGAACAGCTGCTATCTACTTGATCCGAGCATAGTTTCCAGAGCTAGTGCCCTTCACTTCCCGCTTTTTAGCCGCCATGATTCTAGTGCTTTCCGAAACTGGACAAGCTGACTGATTAATTTTTCTCTCCCGCACTCGCAGTAAAGTGGGGCGATATTATAGTTGAAGTGGCAATGATATACCGCAAAGTCCCCATGTCTAGTTCGAGCGGCGATTAAGCGGGCAAAGACCACTCTCGGGAGCGCTAGCTCTGGCGGTCTCTTGCGCCGCATTTCGAATTCGAAGTTTGTGTGAACTGGCTCACAAAATTTTATGTACAAGGGTCGAGTTGAGACCTTTCTTTATAGGAAATAGCTTTTTAGAAAAAGGCAACAATGTATTTATAGAATTTCTCCTCATAGAGGAGAGCAGAGATAGGAATGATTTGAGTAACCCCACAAAAGCTTGTGAATTGACCATTGGTAGTGTTCCGACAAGGTTGGCGTAGTGTTTCGGGCGATTGGAGTGCCACCAGTCCGTCAAAATTTGCCTGGCCAGTTCGCGGGCCTTCCTTCCAGATGAGGTGAGGGTAATCACATCATATATTGTCCTAGTGTTGTCCAATGAGTTAAGCTCTCTTCGAGCGAGTTCATCGGCGATTTCATTTCCTGCCAGCCCTTCGTGGCCCAGGATCCATCCTATTTTTACAGGTACGGCTGATCTTGCGGCCATTTTCAAGAACTTTTGGATCTGCCAGGATGATGAACGCGTTGTTTCCGTCAGCAAAGCCTGAACAGCCACGTAATTTTCAAGCAGGAAATAGATGGCGCTGCGACCTCGGTATCGCTTCCTGGTAGTGATTGCTTCTAGAGCAGCCAAAGCTCCATGAATCTCCGCGTCGTAGACCTCCGCATTCGTAATTTTGCCTGTGCTGCTTTGATCAATTACCGTGCCTGTGCCACTGATAAAGGTCACAAAGGCCCTTGAAACTCTATCGGTGGACGCCCCAGAAATATCATTGTAAACGCATAGATAGTCAGATAGGAGGGCAGGTAGCCATTCTCTTAAAAACTTAGCCGCTTCTTTCTTGCTAGTCAAGCAAGGATTTTGCTGAGGGGGTAGCGGAATTCGGAGAGGTGGAGAAAGTTCAGCATCTGGCAAGCACTACCAGTGGATATTGCTGTTTGAAAGACAGCTTTCTGCATTTCTTTCTATCCACCAACGTGGTTGTATGTATCTTGCCTGAACTATATTTCTGAGTTCAGGCAGAAGCCCATACTTTTGATTCAATCAGACTCAACGTTTGAGTCTACTTGATTCCAATTCTTCCCGAACAAATCTAGTAATTGGTTTGTTTGTATTTTTTATTGCATGATCCAGTATCCTGAGACAGTGGATAATTCTTTTCTAGTCTAGGATCTTACTTATTTCTGCAGTCGAGTCTGTTCCGGATAATCTTTCTTCCTTGTAATTCCACTGTAAATGTCATAACGCCTGTATCTGTGTGTTTTATTGTACTACTTGAGTCTATGACTATCTAGCACATCGGGATCCTCTCTGACTCAGGCCACACCTTGTACAGTCCTCCTATCCTCTTTTGTTACTTGAAAGATCATTGATATATTCCCCTTGATGAATAGCCATTCAGCTCAGTATTTACCCGTGGAATTCAGCAACCTTTTCCACGGAACCTTCTACCCAAAAAAATAAAAATAGTAGCAATGGAAACTGCGTACGCGGGAAAAAGTCTCAAAAACCTGCAGCCCAGCCAGGCGAGGCCTAGACATCGGGACCACATGAGGTGCGAATATTCATCTATATCTCCCTTCTTTGTAATAGTCGAGGCCGGCTTGATCCAGTCCACCATCTCCGTATCGGGTGCTGGGTACGCTCCGGAAACTCATCAGATAGCTATTCCTCCACGATCAAGTGTAGGTGATGAGTAGGGCTTCAACACTACCTTCTAATCTGATCGTGGTTAGCTTCATGATAGTGGTGATATAGGGTTGTGTTGAGAGATGAAGAAGATAGAGACGGCGAAAGCGATTGGGAATCCTCGTCGAAGTGAGGACTTCGTTACTCAATCTCGGCTCTGTAGACTCTACAGTGAGAGCTGGAGGTTCGTAGGGGACACCACTGACAGGTTTTGAGAATAGTCCCCCTCATAACGCCTGTAGTCCATTAGTCAATTAAGAAAACTGAATTTCTTCTCCGTTCTCAGGCAATTCTTACTCCGAAGTTGTCTCTTTACTATAACAATTGCTCTATGTAAAAGGCTGAGCCTTTTGCCACACACTGATTAGATGCAGGGCTGGACACGCAGGTTAGGCCAGACAGCCAATAACGGGTAGCCCCGTAATAGCTCTGTTGGGCAACACTAGACATATGAATTTTGTTGTGAGCAGGAATGACTTTGAACAAAAAACAGTTAGCAAACTCGTCCATTCGATCGATCGCTTCAAAAGTCCGCCACGTGCCCTCAGAATGCGGGCTTTGTGTGCTGCAAAGTTTGTCTAAGCCCCTTCTACCAATAAATATAAACCTAGCCACAGTAGTAACCCAACATTTGTTTTTTATGGAAGCTCAAGTATGCTGAGTACCGACGCACCCTATTTTTCACTTCAACTCACTGCATAAGACTTGAGTATGGCCTGATTGCCTTCAGTTGAAGCAAATATCGACATCTCCTCGGAATGAAGAGAGCAAAGTCGAGTACATCGTTGAATTCATGACAGTTTTATTTCATATCATTCACTTTTAAGGGCCTGAATTAGTAGATTTAAGATTACCGATTCTCGAGAATAGCCGTTTCTTTCACCGATCGATTTCCATTCCTGACGAAAAGGCGCACCGACTTTATGATTTTATTTTTAGGAATCCAAAAATTTGGCCCAATAATAGTTTTTTTATAAGCCTGTAATCATAGGCATCATTCCACCATTTTATCATTGTTCCAGGTAAGACTTCAAGAATTTCAACGAGATATTCCTGTTTAAAGATATAAAAGTCTCCTGGTTATGGAGTTGAAAAGGCAGTGTCTCGTAGGGAAATCGACTGCACATATCCTATTATAAAATTTCTCTGCAGCTTCCCATCGGCGTATAACATCTCACTGTGTACTTTTACTCATGTGAGCAGCCCAGAAAGCTATTTGTTGTCAGGTTTCTCCTCTTGAATCCTAACGACCGCTCTTGTCCCTGGCTGTTCAGAGATCGAGGCGCAGGTAGGGCGAATTTTTATTCCAAGATCCGTTTGATTATTCGCATTTTGATTTGGCTCCTCGAGATTCTCATCCGCCTTTTAAAAGACTATCCTAAAAATTGGATCAATTATTCTCAAAATCAGAGAATTAGTTCTTAATTATACTTCGTTATGATCTTAATGATAGGATGTGTGGCAAGTGAAGGTCTGGTGGTCAGAGAACGCCTCAGAGAGGTTGGGAAGGTGTCAGAATTTAATAATTCCCTTAGCTGAACAAGCAAAAATCAATGATTCAAGTAAAAGTGTGTGAGTTTTCTTTCTAAAAACAGATCTAGATTCGAAGATATGTTTATAAACACAATCGTGCGTTAAAGCTTCTGCAGTTTAGGATCTTAGCGAATGTTTGATGCATTTAAACGACAAAAACAAGTTTCGTGTAGTTCCCAATTAAGGTCATATCATCACAAGTATAAGAGCAATTGCGTTCGGTAAAACGCCTCGACGTAATAATAAGCTCGATACCAGCTCAAGCTACCAGATCCATATGACCTCAAGTCACCAGTTGTTGTTCCTTGCGATCATGGCATATCCGTTATGTCTTGAAGTTATTGGTATTCTACTGATTAAAATAATAGATAATCTGATAATTTATCCGCGTGGCTCGTTTTTTGTGAACATTACTGAACGGGTCACGCGGCATTATGGCGATAACTTTTTAGGTAAATTCATTTTAAATTAAAAGGAAATAATAAGTTCAAATGCGAACGTGCGTCACAAAAGCTATGTTTAAAAATGCATGAAAAGGAGTTCATTTTGATGAATCTTTTCGTATTTTCGGCTAGCCATCTACTTCTTTTTCTCCTCTTTTTCTTGATCCTTTGCTACCGGTAGCTTAAAGGTATCCGGTTTCCTATCAATACCAGGCCCAACTTGCTAAAAATTGTTAGTACCAACTTTCAATGCGAGTCGCAACTTGTTACGTACCTCCCATGCCGAAGTACCCCCTTCAAAATTTCTAAAGGCTTGTGTTAATTCTAATGGCTCCACTACAATTCTTTTCTTTTCCTCATCATATCGAATTTCAGTGTAGCCAGTCAGAGGGAAATCTTTTCTCAGAGGATGGCCGTCAAAGCCATAGTCGGTCATTATTCTTCGTAAGTCAGGATGACCGACAAAAAACACTCCAAACATGTCATACACCTCCCGCTCGTACCAATTGGCGCCATCGTATAAGCTAGTGATGCTGGGAATTGGTGAGACTTCGTCTGCATATGTTTTGACTCGAATCCTGGAGTTATGCCGTACGCTGAGCATGTTGTAAACTATCTCGAATCTTTGGTCTCTAGTAGGGAAATCAACGGCAGTAATATCTGAAATTTGGGTAAATTCTGCAGCTGTGTTGTCTAAAATTCGTTAGAATTATTACGTCTATTAGATTATTTAACTACATTTTAGGAAACTGAATACTGGTATCACTCCGGCCGGGGAAATGTAGATTACCAACTCATCTTTCCATACCGAAAATTGTTGTATGTACTTTGGAATGCAACCCATAAGCCAAGAACCATATCGATGCATGTCATCTGCTATTGTCATATATTTATCGGCAGGATTGATTAGAGGTGCACGTAAGCCACCAAGGGAGTCTGCGTTCCTTTGGGCATGCCTCATGTTAGGTGTTGGATCTCCAGAGATAACCACGTGTCCGGATCGAGTGGAACTAAATGGTCGAATAAACATGGGACAACGGCTGGTCCCTCTCACCACGAATGAACGAAGTGGTGAGAGCTTAAGTTGGCCGGTTAAGAGCTTAGGCGTCATTTTCAATTTAATGTTGCGTGTATGAGGCTATATGGTGCCAGGCTGCAGGCACATGAGCCACTGAGTTGTAATATGGCCTCAGGCCAAACCTCAAACCAAGCTAGGGTTCGTCTACCTGCCACCACAGCCAAAGCTTCCTTCCACCACGAACCTCATCGAACAATCCTCACTCAGAAAACTCTGTAAAACAGCAATCCTTAATCAAGACCCACCATAAATCGTTCTGTAACAACCATCACACATTTTACGCATTGATTCATGAGGAACGACACTTATTCTGACATCGCTAATTAAATAAAATTAATACCACCTGTTAGCAAATTCTATTCTTCCGTCGTCAAGAATGGCCCTCCAAGATAGCTTTATTGATGAAGATGAGGACACATGGTATCAACCCGAACCATTTCTTTTTGTCACCTAGAATTTCTAATGTAAAGTAGTCCACTCTGTGTTGAAGAATTCGACCTTTCCGACAAGAATTTTCGCCCATGTCCTTGTGGATATCAGGTACACACTTACATAAGTCAGTCAGTCTGAATGGCTTGCCTAACTATGAATATGGTCTAGATCTGTCAATTCTGCTTTAACAACATTAAAAACAACATTAATGGCTTATGTCCCGCCTGTCGCAGACCTTATGATGAGAAAACTATAGAATGGAAAGTTGTGACCCAAGAAGAGTATGCAAAATTAAACTGTGAGATTAACGATTTGCTAAGTGATCACAGGATGGCACAGTTCAAGGCGAATATACAAAAAAATGCTAAAAAGAAACAAGAGCAGCGCCAAAAAGAAGCGCAAAAGCGAGAAGTCGAAAGTCTGAACCGGAAACACCTCTCTGGTCTTCGTGTAGTCCAGAAGAACCTCGTCTACGTCGTCGGGATTAGTCCTGGAATACCGGAACAAGAAATTTTATCAACTTTACGGGGTGAAAAGTATTTTGGTCAGTACGGTAAAATTGTAAAGATAGTAGTTAGCAATAAGAAGCAAGGAGACGCAGGATCTAACAACCAATCGCTGGGCGTATATGTTACATTTGCGAGGAAAGAAGACGCGTCTAGATGCATAGCTGCAGTTAATGGGTCCCAAAACGGCGACCGTGTCTTAAGAGCTCAGCTAGGAACCACAAAGTACTGTTCAGCATATCTCAGAAATGAGACCTGTACCAACAAAAATTGTATGTTTCTACACGAACCTGGCGACAATGATGATAGTTATTCCCGACAAGACTTATCTTCTATAAACAGCGTAAATACTCAACGTCCGCTCTCATCGATGGCCACTGCGTCTGGAGCGAACTCTAGACAATCAGCTCTAAATCAGAACACCCATATGGCAACAGCAATCCCTCAAACTATGATGAGAGAAGGAAGCAAGGATGAATTAGACTGTGTAGATGGATCTGCACTCCCATCTTCTGCTAGCTGGGCGAATCGTGGCTTACCGCAAAGAAATCGAAGGGACAGTCATTCTACTAGTATCGCTGCCTCAAGCCCGGCCATTTCTCATGCCCTTCCAGCAACAGCTGAAGTCTCAGAGGAACCACCAGCACCAGTCACGCAAAAGCTATCCGAACCTGCAAGCTTATCTTCCTCTACTAGAGTGGTACAAACTAATTACAATGACACAGAAGATGCTTATGTCTTCAAAAATATACTTAAAGCTATAAATTCTTCTAACCTCTCCTTTCCGCCTCCAAAATCCACTGAAGATAGTACTAATATTTACAATTCTTATCCACCACTATTCGATGAGCATGGTGGTCAAAAGCGTAGGGCACAAAAGGTACATCAGGAGGACGTTGAACTTCACATCGAACAAGATCCGCGTGAATTCATGAAAACCATTCCCGAACCTCCAGAGGATGAAGAACCAGAGAGTGGTAGTTTGCAATTAGGTGGCGAACCTGAAGATCGAGAGTCTAGTCGCGAAGGGGCCCTTCCACCCAATTTTCATAACCAACAAGCTAATTCCCAACTTCCAATCCATCGAATAGCCAACAATAATAGTTCAAATCTTAGACTTGCTCAGCCCAATCCACATAATTCAACTAACCTCAACACTTCTAATGGGCGTGCCTTTACTCCGCTGCAACAGCAACAACACATGCACCTTATGAAGTCTAATCAACAATCCGAACTCCCTGAGCAGTATCCATCTGGAATCGGGAACCAGCTTAGCTTAAATTCATCCCTATTTCAACAAGGCCATGGGCGACAGGCTTCTCGTTACAACTTCGCAAACGATTCATCGAATTCAATGAAGACATCTGCCAATTCAAAACTAATGGCACAGCAGTCATCCATGATGCCCTCAGCTAATTTCTCTCAGCAAACTGGATTCTATCCCCAATCAATCCAAGGTCCTCCCCCGGGACTGAAATCGTCAGCAACTCCTCCCACGAACGGATCAATGTTCGGACAAAATCTTGGCTTTAGTAATTCTATGAGTGGTACTTTGTTTAGTGGATTACAAAAAGAAAATAATAGCGAAATGCTTCGTGATATAATCCGGGGTCGTGGTAACGTTGGCGGAAGTCAAACGCATGACACAGGCAAGCGTGAGTACATGTTTTCTTCTTTTCTTCATCAATACCCACCCGCCTCCACCCCGGCTCAAGGTCCAGGCCTAGCATCGATCTATGGTCCACAGACCGGAGCATTCCACGACTTTGGTCAAAAGCAGAAGAAGAAGGGAAAGAAGCACAGACACGCTAACACTTCTTCCTCCGGAGGAGGTGGTATAGTAGATCTTGCCGACCCGAGCATCTTGCAAGCAAGGATGCAACACCAACAACACAGTAACTCTGGAGTTGCACAGGGATTATTTGGCGGTCAGGCACAAGGTGGGTACAATCCGAGTATGATGTACGGTGCAGGATTCTCCAGGTGGTAGACCTAGATGGTTATTGGCGTCATTTTGGGCAGGAGTCAGTGGAAATTGCTCTATTCAGATGGCGTTGCGAGTGATAATTATGGATCCCACTTCAGGTTGCATCTTTGTTTTAGCGTGCATGGGCTAGCTCCAAGGTGGAAGCTTCAAATCGCCTGGCATAAGCCTACGATAAGGCATTATGGAAATATTTTTTACCCTCAGCTTGCGGTTGTTATTTTGGGCATAGGCGCTTCGGGCATCCGAATCAGACAAGCACTCCATCATCGTCTTCACCCAAGTCTACTTCAATGTATGTTAAAGTCCCCAGTCCTACGCCAAAATCTGGTGATTGAAATATAGCATTCTCACATATCTGTGCCATCAGTCATATTGTTGGGGATGAAGACGAAGATGGACTTGTGAAGTGATGTCGGCCAGCCAAGCAAGCTCTCGTGCTACAACTTTATCTCTTTTTGCTCCATCTTTAATAGTCATTTTTACTTTTGTGTACGAAAAAAATGCTGATGTGGTTTGACAGGCCAGATCCTCCCTTCTCTTGATGAGGCGCGATCGTCTGTTGATGCTCTCGTTGGAGATAGCGTCAATGAAGACTATCACCGAACATCAGATGTCTACGGTCCTATATCTCGGTCTCTAACTCCATTGGTACCGCCCGGCTTTAGTATACCCCTCGTTCAAGCATCTTTTACACCTCAGGATAGAGCCAGCTCCAAGCCTTCATCTCTAAACGTCCCTGTTCAGGCTTCATTCGTATCACGGAAAGTATCTCCTGGCTCCGTAACCTCCTACCCTCAACTAACACCTCTTGGGCTGTCTCAAACCCCTGTAGCAGCTAATATTGAAATTATCTCACCACTTAATAAACAGGATGAAAAGCCGTCAACTTCAGTCCCTACGAAGCCAGGAAAACAGCAATCCACTCAGCATATCCTTCAAACAGAAGATTTCCCTGCGTTGCAGAGCGGGAAGAGAAAAGCAACAACAGTTAGGGTTGCAACACCAGCATCTCTTATCACTTTCGGAAAGAATCCAGCATCAAATACTGGTCAATCAACCGATAAATCAGATGACTTTCACACAATACCGAATGCAGGTGCTCCAGCAACGATCAAAAATAATAGCAAAGGTACAGCTTCAATGGAATTCAAGAAACCGTCAGCCTTTCCTCCCTTGCCAGCCAGTACTACAAATGCGAGTCACCATTCATCTTCGCGAAATATTCCGAAAACACTCAGACTTACAACAATTCCAAAATCAGACGCTCTAACAACTGGAGTTACCACCCCAACTCACACGAGCTCTATTCAAGCACCTCAGACACTTCCTTCACGGCACCATAGTCTTTCTTCAAACGTACGACTAGACCGTCCCGGCACACCTACAAGTGAGATAACGTCAGATAATATATCAATCACTTCAACATCGTTTTCAAGAGCCAGCTCGCCCCCTCTGACACGCGTTGGATCGGCTCCAGTTCGCACAGCTACAAAGAGCTTTCAGAAAAAACAACGCCAGGCCCAGAAAGAGAAAGAGAGAGCAGAGATAGAGGCTGCAGTAGTCGTTGAGCCGGAAGTCGAAATACCACCAATTATGGGAAGGAAGAAAAAGCAAAAGAAGGAGCGCCTGCATTCGACTAATGGAGGGCTGAACTTCACGATCAGCCGACCGATAACACCTGGCACCGCAGAAAATAAAAGTCAGGTCGAAAAGAGTATACCCAAGATCGAGGAACAGCTGGAGCCCCCGACCAAAAATCTTGATACAGAGGTAGATTCTTTAAAAGTGGCTAACAAACTAGCCATCATAAAATCTCAAACTAAAGTCAAGCCGCAAAACGTTGTTAAAACTGATCCAACTCTTACCAGTCTCGAGGTTGAAAAAGAAGAAGCCGACAAACCTCTACTTACTCCTGCAATTATTCTGCAAGAGTTTGTAGCTTCTGGCGTTATAAAAGACCTAAGTGAGCTCTATTTGCTTAAAAATATAACTTCATCGTACAAACATCTTGATATGTTAGATAAAATAGATAAGGTAGAGATAAGTCCAAAGCTGGTAATAACTCCAGAAGATCATGACACATTACTTGCGGGTAAGCCTGTCCACAAAAACGCGGAAGGGGGTTTCCGCATTATGCTCACACCAAACGGAGACTGTGTGCGTAACTTAACTGAGGAAGAAGAGATTCGATATCTTTACTATCAAGATCAACTGGCGAAAGATGCTGGACCAACAGCCTTCTTTTCTGCAAAGCATGCGGGGCAAAATGGCTTTACTATGATAGGCGGTCGTGCTGTTCCCAGTGGGCCACCGTCTTTTTTCCCTGTCCTTAAAAAAGCAAATTCTTGCCTTGATCCCGTAAGTAAAATTCAACGTGATGAAGCCCTTAATTACATCAACCAGTACGTTCTACCTACTCTATCAAGTTGCGCCCAGTATGAAAAGACTTTATATACAAATGAGGTCCAGGGGGAAATGATGCGGACAGATTCTGTCGACTCAACATTGAAAACCTGGGGACCCGACCAAGCATCTACTTTATCTGCGACAAATGACTTCTACATGAGCCACTCACTCAACAGTGAAGGTGTAATTGAAAATATCACAACCCACTTTGCGATAGGAGAGATGAGGAGGCAGGGAAATGGCTCACTCCTGAGTCTGACTGACGCCGAGCCTGCCATGCAACTTGCCCGAAAAGAAGTTGAAGGACTTGAGAAGAAGCTAAATGCATTGATTAAGAAGAATCGGAGAATTCTTCTGGGAGCCGGGCATTAATTACTCGATGTATCTAGTTGCCTACACAAATTGGATACCTGACAACGTTAGCTTGTTTTACGCTTGAATCTAGTTTTTATTGATCGCCTTTGCATATTTATGAAGACTTGTTTTATTCTAATTGTGATAGCTCAATGAATATCTTAAATGGAAGTACAAAAATGATTATTCTAGTGAGAGGAATCAATATTTAACTAGATAAAGCTCAATTAATTCCCTGAGCAAAGTCTCAATAACTTCCTCTCAAGTAATCGCCCGATCTATTCAAATCATTAGAACTACTTATGTAAGCAGTAGAGATGAACAGTAAAGGTTAGAATTTCTTATGTTCACCAGAGATTTCATAGTATATAGTCTTTCATCAAAACCACCTGTGAAGGTGAATGGAAACTAGTCAACTTAGTTCAGGTATTTGAACGTTTAAGGACAACATTTGTGCAGTAAATTAATAATAAGTAACCTAGGGAAGGTATAAGCTTTGTGACTAGTATCTAAAAACTAACTTAACCGAATACTTGCTTCGGATTGATTAAATGTGACATTTCTCGCCCACTACAGTTATGTAAGTGATCAACGTCGGCTAAAAATCTAAATTGCGAATATAACGTTTATATCCGGACGTTCCCATGAGCCTATTTTAAAATAAGTCAGATATCCAGTAGGGCCCTGGGTATTTAAGGACCGGCTAACTAAATGCCAACTTGACAACCAACATATTTACTTCAAAAATTGGGCAGGTAAGCTGTTCCTGATATACTGGAAACATTATTTCAGAGCGTTATCGGCACAGTCGATTATAGGAACGAGTATTTCTTCACCAAAGATACCCTTGCCACTTTGCCATTGAAAGCGACGAGCATTTAATTTACACGCCCGACCCTCCTCTATAGGTTGTGCAGCGACAGATGGGGTGATTTGGAATCCATTAGCGTTGTAGAGATAAGGTTGATGCCAGATGGTGCTTTGTTTGGCTAAGTTTGTCACAGTTAGTCAAGGCTGAAAGCACTCGGGCAAAAAATACGGCCTTAAGGGAAGGTCACTCACCTAGTTGAGACCCGCGCGGCCCATCGCCCATATGCCAAGAGAAAGGAATCAAATGGCATTCTTCAATATGCTGTTTCCACTGCTTCCTTGTGTAAAAAGTCTGGCGTAGGTAGGTTGTCTCGTTATCGTTCGGATAGTGACCGTGGGGCGACTTTATATCTTCATCCTTTGCCGTTACTGCTGCTTCCCATGCCTGACCACACTTCTTCCAGAGGCAGCGACGTCCACCGCTTTCTAACTTTGCACTATGGAGCATATATACATGCTTCCGTAAAATCTCCATGTTCATTAACTCAGCTGGACATCCCTGCCACTCACATTTGAAGGGATAATAGACAGGTTCTGGTACTGGCACATCGAGGTGGTGATGGAATCTTGATGAGCTCTTTTTCTTGGCCTGTAACTCAACTAGATCTCTATTCAAGATTGGCATGTATGTTCGTGATTTTAGCCTTCTTTCAGATTTCTTGGGACCCTGATGGCTTTCTTCAGAGACTGCCGATTTTGAATTTATGAGAACAAATTGCTCAGGTTCAAGACTTTCATCTAAATTTCTAGTCCGTAACTCATTTATATTCCCGTTTACGCTGGGTGAGCATGATCGGAGTTTTGTCATTTTCTCAGACCTCTCAAATGCCAGGTGGTAACTTTCTGGGGCCGACGATCTTGAGTCGGTGAAAATAAAATTTTCGGGTCCAGGAAATTGATCCGGGTTTTCAGTCCGTAGCTCATTCATATTCCCGTTTACGCTCGGTGAGCATGATCGAAGTTTTGTCATTTTCTCAGACCTCTCAAATGCCCGGTGGTAACTTTCTGGGGCCGACGATCTTGAGTCGGTGAAAATAAAATTTTCGGGTCCAGGAAATTGATCCGGGTTTTCAGTCCGTAGCTCATTCATATTCCCGTTTACGCTGGGTGAGCATGATCGGAGTTTTGTGTTTTTCTCAGACCTCTCAAATGCTAGGTGGTAACTTTCTGGGGCCGACGATCTTGAGTCGGTGAAAATAAAATTTTCGGGTCCAGGAAATTGATCCGGGTTTTCAGTCCGTAGCTCATTCATATTCCCGTTTACGCTTGGTGAGCATGATCGGAGTTTTGTCATTTTTTCAGACCTATCAAATTCCTGGTAGTAACTATCTGGGGCTGACGATCTTGAGTCGGTGAGAATAAAACTTTCGGGCCTAGAAAGCTCATCTAGGTGTTCTGATTCGTCTAAACTATTGATAGAACTCTCGACTATTCGATTCGTCTTTCGGAGCGAAAGAGATGAGCAAGCTGTACTCAACGTAGTTTGGGCCGAAAAACAAGGCTTCGGGAGTTTAAATACAAGAGTAGATATTGAACTAAAGTATTTTGAGGGAAACAGGCTTGAGAGAGGATCTTCTGAATCAGACGCACTTCCAGGGGACTCGTAATGAGTTAGTTTTTCTGGGGATTGGCTTAGGTATGTCGAGATCTTTTCGCCGCTGATACTACTTTTTGGTTTTTTTGTTACAGGTGGTTGTGACTCGGAGGCCTCATTATCTTCCTGCCATGTGAACATGGTAGATTTGGTAGTCAAATCACTTATAGGCTTGGCCACACTGTCGTACTCTTGAAATTTATCTTCTTTACCAGTTGGAACCTGATCCAACTTTAAATAAAAATCTAATGATTTCTCTGGGTTATTTATTTTGGGTTTTTTTGATCGAAATAGTTTTTTCTTCCTCTTACGACTAGATTTTTTTGAATTTAAAGGACGTGGTTTCTGTGATTTGATGTTTTCTGGGTGTCCTTGTTCCGGTGATATCCGTGAATCTCCAACTTGCTTTGCCACAAAAGGCAGTCTAGTTTGATTCCAAGGATACACTTCTTGTTTTTTATATGAACTTAAAGCTTTGGAGTTTGATAACTCTTGTTCTTGAGGATTCAATGTTATATTATGAGCAAGTTGGTCAATATCCGTACAAGATATTGGGTAAGGAGATTCTGTGGATCTCTGAGCTTCATGATGAACAAATTGACTGTTCAGCTGCCCTGATAATAGCTGGTTGGAAGCAGTGCCATTATTTGGATGGGAAGGAGGCATAGAAAATGACTTTGTACCAATGGCGAGTAGAGTTTTAATATCAGTGGTACAATTCATTAACTCCGAGGAATATTAGTGAAGATTGCAATTGACATATGTAGCTTTCTGTGGTCTTTTCCTGGCACAAAGGGGATCAATTCTATCAGAAAATTTATCAGGCTGTTTTGTCACGAGAGCGAGATCGATACCCAAGCGTTACAGAACCTTTTAAAAATTCTACTCGGAAAAAAAGATAATTAGTAGTCCAGAGCTGCTTTAAAAAATACTCGAAATGCAGAATATATCTCGTGATGGGGCTAGATTTACGAGATATGCCCAGCATCAAAGTATAAGTATGGAAATTTTATTGGCAAAGCTGAAACAGTACCAGTTGTCCGTGATCCCTTGCACATGTGGTAATGGCAACAGAACCAGGATAGTGTGGATTGATTCTTACCCATAGAATCAGGTCTCATATATAGCTGCTGATAAGTTAGGTTGTGATATTCCGTTACATCAAGCGGTATAGGACTTCTGTAAGACTGTGACACATCTGTCCAAGATTAAGCTTTTTATCACGTGGCAGTCCACTTTTCTCAATGATGCAGGAGCGAAGCTGCCTAAAGTGGAATAGAGTGATTACCTAATGTGACTTACATGATCGAAGCTAACCTATATATTCTTATCAACTGTAATCGCGTTGCATACAATTATAACGAATCAAGATTGAATGGTTTAAATTTAAGTCTCTTTTGAGTCCTAGACAATGAAAGACTACAAAAAGATCTCTCTAAATAGATCCTTAATTTACAGGTTAGATTCCAATTTGAATATTACAATTATATGCCAGTTGATCCTGAGGGTCAAGCCCTAATAATAACTAATCAAGAACTAGCAAGTTCTGTCTGACTTTTTCCTCATAAATATTACAATCCACAGCTGATAAAAAGAATTGAGGTATAATCTAGCGACTAGTAGCTGGTTTGGTTACTTTCAGGATGAGTGATTCCTAACTACCTCGGTCAGCGAGTAGACCGATAGGCAAGACTTTTCTTAAAAGTTTATGATCTGAGTTAAACTTCTAACTCATATACTGGCCATACAATTTATTTAAAATTTAAAGATTGTAGCTATTTATTATACATCGTTCATGTTATAAAATGTGACCCATGCTATGCTTACTTTCTTACATCCGAAGAATCAGTCTAGGCGAGGTATAATGTCGCCACCACTGTTTCTGGGACTACTACCGCTGGATACAATCCGTGAAGAAGGCATGGGAGGCAGTACAGCGCCCAAAAAATAGATATTCCCGACTTGAAGGTAGAAACTAGCTTCATGTTCAGATATGGTCAAAGACTCTACAGGATAATTAGCATTTACACCATCTCTTCACAATTGCTCATAAAGTATATGATCTTAGTGTCTATTGGTAATAATCAAATTTCAAAATGACTAATAAAGTTTAAGGTTGATGGTAAGCTGTAGCAGTCCTTAGTCAGACTCAGTATAGATTTTGATTTGATTCTATTCTATTCTACTCACAGATGCTACTTGGCAAATTAAGAATCGAGTGCTTCTATTGATTTCCATTAGTCATGGGATGCTAGCGTATAAAGAATCAGCTGTTCAAGATGTTCACAGGCCCTATCATTCTGCGCAGCTAGAGGATGATAGATAATGGTGACGCAACAACCTGCGTGTCCTATAATCCCCATTCGACACCCTTTGTCAAAATGATCAAAGCTTAAAATCCGATTCAGGTATCCTCAACGAAACTGGAATTAGACACTTTCTCGGAGCCGAGATTCAATTGTGGCAAAGGGTAAATTTCAGAGGCTTCCTCGAGATGGCAATCTGGAGGAGTGGCGTCAGCAATCTTTTGGTCAAGAGCCCGACCTTCTCAGCTTTGTTGACTGTATAACCCAGAGGATTAAATGATTTATAGCCTAAATACGTTCTGCCGACAGAATTAAATTTGTCTGATGCCTGAATCAAAACGTCAAACATACTTCACTGTCTTGATCTGTCCTGAAATTTACTTTTCAGTTAAAACTATCTTGTAACTCTCCAAAGTCATCTCATCACCCAAACAAGCATTCCGAAACCCAACAGTCATAACCAGAATCTAAGATACAAGAAGACATCCATCTCTTCACAATCATCGTCCTCTAAATATTTATGATAGAATTACCGGCCTTCTGTCTACCTACTCCTCAGCCAAGAGCATCGATAGCTCAAACTGCGATTAATCACTCCAGAATAAATACGCACGAGGCTTTACCTGCACATCAAATAGAATACTCAAACAATTCCAAGGCATCGGCACCTCACTCATAAGCTCTTCAACGCATATTCCGCCTGTACTGCAAGGGTTACGGTAGTGACGAGGCATAGATGGGAATTTTACAAAATTCGATGATTAGATTGGCAGGTGTATTAAGAAGAAGCTGCAATCGAGGAAAGAAAGTTGAGAAACTCTGAGGCCTCGAAGAGCGACAAGATGTAGTCTTCAATGAATAAAATATCACTCGGATAAGATGAGGAGGTACTACAATATGATTAATCATATGTCGGCTAGAAGGGATTATTACGAAAATGGAAAGGAAGTGGGTTTGTGGTGGTCGAGGTCCAAAAAGAATCTATGCTGTGTTACTCTAACAAGTGTTCTCCGGACCTTATAATTTGACGTATGCAACGAATGAACGAAGTTGAAGTTGGGCTAATTATTCAGGTGGGACAAGTATCAAGGAGTAAATGGTAGGTAAACTGAACTAGCTCGGCTCCGCTCATGCCCAAGCCCTAAAAGGAGCGCAAAAGCTGCAGATATACTAACACGTTCACTACAAACAAACGGAGAAATCTCAATCGTGATTACAAAAACATAACTTCAAACCTATAACAAAGCTTCCATTGCAAATAAACTTGCTGAACATTTACTTTCTGGAAATGATGAGCTTGGCATCGACCTAATTGCTACAATTATAGAGCTTGCTCAAATAGCACACTAGACTCCCGGATACCTATTAGCTGTATAGTCTAGGCATTGAAGTTTTGTAGAATATCACCAGTGTTTTTAGTATGATAAAATCATCCTAACCTGCTCACGCGACTTGTTAAAACCCCTAACCGGTTTTTCTTTTATCGAAATTGTAGCTTGATATCGACTTTGTATGTGTACTTTTGTTGTCACAGACATTAGAAATTGATTCATGGGATTGCTTAATGAGAGGCTAGGATTGATTCCGATATAATTTAGTAGAAGACTTGTCCCAACTATCAGAGGGCTGCGACGTCTTTATCTATCTACAGGTAAATTCCCCATATTCCAACCACGCTAGCCATACAGGACGTAGCATGTAAAACTTGATTCGTATCATCATTTTGGAGTTGAGGTTTACTGTGCATTTTGATACTTGAGCCGCATGCCTGACTACTATGAGACACGCTCAGGTATCAATCTAATATTCACACCAACCCAAAATCACTCACAGCCCGAATGATGACCCCATGAATAATTGGAACAGTAGCCTGAAACATAGCACAATTAAGCTAGACATCGTTGATCAGGACATAATCCGAAAATTCTTTCATACATGGCAAAGTTAAGTTTGGCGCCAAGCCACGTAGGGCTTCACTACTTGATTAAGTTATAGCCCGGTATAGACTGGCTAGGCTGAATTACAAGCCAAGCTTTGCAGATTGATAGAATTTGGTTAACGGATCTGCCTATCGCAACAGTCAGGGCCCCAAGTAGCTCCTTTTTTGCATCAGATTTTAATTGCGTATGCAGCTCTCTAGCTATGACACAATATCAGACAAAGTACAGAATAGATGACTTAATGTAAAAACAGAACACTCACGCCTCGGATTTCATTTGCAAGTACCACTGCGAAGTTATGGCGGCTTTTTCTTCACCCCAAGTCAACCCTCATCCGTGAATACCCACCCAGGGGAACGTCTTAAAAACCCTTAGTTATCCAGACATGTCTCCGTCATCCATCAACTTTTCTCCGCGCGAAATGCGATCTGAGGCGTCTACCTCCCAAGTGGAGTAGGTGCCCAGACTACTCAAACTATACCAGATATAACCACCGGGAGGCGGACCACAGCACCTTCTATCGTTTGCTTGTGTTTATAGTGTCAGCTGCACTCTTGCAAGCGAAGTCTTGGTGTGCGCAAAGCCTAATTCGTAAGAACTCCTTGCCAAAATTCGAATTTTCACACCCTTCGAGGTAATATCCTTCCTTTGCATCATCTTGTAAACTTGTCCTGATCCCTCTCACGTCCATCCCAAAGAGCTATCTCCCAGATTTGTGCGCCACGCTTTGCTTCCTCCGTCCGGTGTAAATATCAGCGTGGGCGTGTATATGGTGGTCAACTGAGGCCAGAGAATAGTTGACGAGAGGTGTGGTCATTGGAATGAGGATATACTTGGTCGTACTCGTAGACTTGATGAAACTTAGATAGGAGTCAAACTCGTTGGGAGTGAAAATTTGACGTGGAGGAGCAATTTGAAATTTTGCCTAGTGGGCCAACTTCTTTGATATTGCGAAATTTGACTGAACTTGGCTCTGGGAGAGTATTTCACGCCCAGGTTCGTAGAGGAAAGCGCGTACAGGTGTTCAATCTTGCCCTCCAGTAGCTCCTTGTGTGAGGTGGTTTTTGTTTGTTTATTTTTTTACATCGTACCAGCGCTAAATTCGTTTCCAAAGCGGCGCCCTATTTTTACAGCCAAGATCCGTCCTCTAGATCGGTGTTAACCCTTCCCCCTACGTGCTCTAGAGACTAGAGAAGAGGCTCTGCGTCGTATGGGCCTATGCATATCCAATCGAGGTCGACATGGAAACGAATTAATCTATAATTCTTGAGTACAACATGCATCTCAGCTGATGCCAACAACAGAGCAGCCTCCACCTCTCCCATGCCCAAAACGCCATACTATAGATATCCTCGAATCGACAAGAAGACAGTAGCAAAATCACTCATGGAATTGCTGGTGTGCTTGCTGCCTTGTTCACTGTGTATTTGTAGTGTCGGCCCCACGTCGACATCTTTAGCAGGATGGGTATTTGTCGCATACTCCATCGATGAGGCGATAAATCTTTTGGCAAGCGGCTCTAGCATTATTAAGGATACCAAGGCCTACGATACCAAGATACACGGAGCAACGGCCGCGCTTACGATGACCATATCTGAGGGACTTGACCAAGGTCGCTCATCCATTTACCTAAAGTTGATAATTGGGCTGCTGTACAAGAGCTGATATCTGGCAGATCGGTTTGGTCAGTCTGGACGTTTAAAACGTTTCAACGATTGACAAGTCAGGCTGCTATCCCAGAGCATGTAAGATGAATCTCGGGATACAAGGGTATCAAAGGAAATGAGACAGCTGACCTGTTGGCCCGAGGGGCCTTTGGCGCGTATTGCCATAGCCTAAAGATTAATGGACAAATAACTCTGGCAGCGACCAAGCACAAAACTAAGAGCTTTGCAGAGGCCAAAATTGTGGGTTAGTGGGCAGCGTCTCCCACTACACATTTACCACGCTATATAATACCCGTAAGAAGGAAATCTACTCGAAATATACCGAGCCTGGGTCCTGGCTTATGGGAGACTGTTGCTCTAACGGGACAAACAACTTGAGAGAAGACAGGTGGCTGGGATGTGGAGAAAAATGGAGACGATGTCTTTACAGACCATGCTGGGACTGGTAATTTTGCGAGGTTTCCAGGATCGAAACGTTTGTCGGCGTTAATATTGAGATCTCGGCTAATTAGCGATATCGAACTCTATTGTCGATTAGTTAACGGCACTCCCCAGAGCTCAGGACGTCAGAAAAAAAGTTGAGCAGAGCTACCATACAGCAATCACGCTCTATCAAGACTTTTCTGATACATTAGATCGACTTCTGGAAAGGAGTTCGAAGGAGGCTAGAAAGGCAGAGTGTGAATTTCCAGAGGTACCCTCAAGTCGGCAACGCTTAGCTGGACGGCCTATTTGAACAATTCCGAAAGGTTACATGTCGGTTATTTTAGTTTTTAATTTTTAATTCATATTGTATTCAGCTATCTAGCTATGACAATACGTGTCGGTTAGTTCAGTCTAGAAAAGCTAGCTGACGTGCTAACGCTCCTAAGGTCCCGGTTTGTATTAACTGGGCCATGGCCTTAATGCCAGGTGCCCCATACTTAGAATACACCAAAAGCACCCTTCCTCTGGGCCACAGTTAACCAAAGCGTAGGTAGAACATTAATATAAATCTACGTTAAGAAGGAGACTCATTGTAGTCATGAGGTTATGTATGATGTCTTGGAGTTTGGACCTTTACAGTCTGCGGAACTAAGGATAGAGGAAGGTATGGAGATTAAATTAATTGGTTACATATATGAAGGGATGAAGCTGTACAGTCTATCTCTACAAGAGAAGTGTTCCTAATACCCTGCGCACGCGCCTCGGCTAATCCTTCACCGTGGAGGGCAAGACTGAACACCTGTCAGAGGTGCTCTCTACGAACCTGGGAGTCAAATATTCTCCCAGAGCCAAGTTCAGTCAAACTTCGCAATACCGAACAAGTTGGCCCACGAGGCAATGATTCAAATTACTCCACTATATCAATCTTTCACTCCCAACGAAATCGAATCCTATCCAAGCCTCATCAAGTTTACAAGTACGACATAGTACATCCTTATTCCAATGACCACACCTCTCATCGACTTTCTCTGGCCTCAGCCGGTCACCAAATACACGCCCACGCCGATATTTATACCCGACGGAGGACACAAAGCGTGGCGCACAAATCTGGGAGACTGTCCTTTGGGATGGGCGTGAGAGGATTCAGGACAAATTCACAAGATAATGCGAAGGATGGATACAGTCTCGACGGGCGTGGAATTTTGGCAAGGAGTTTTCCAAATTGAGCTTTGTGCGTGCCAAGACTTCGGTTGCGAGAGTGCAGGCGACACTATAAACACCGCCATGGTCGGATGGTGCCGTGGTACATCGTCTTGGCCGGTCTGCCAAGTAGAGTCTGGATAGCTTGGACACATATCCCACTTGAGACAGTAGATCGCTGGTTCAAATCCGGCAAAACACAACCATATTTCTCGCGGCGCTGGTATGCATGGATGACGAAGGCATGCTTGGATAACCAAAGTTTTTTAAATTCCCTTTGGTGGGTACATACGGAGGAGGTTCGACTGTTTGTGTAAGCAAGCGTACCTCATAGTGGTATTTGCAAATGAAATCCAGAGTATGAGTTTCTCTAACGTCAAAAGAGTCATCCAACATGTATATATAGCTCCATAGCTGAATACACTTAAATAATTAAAAAAAAAAAAACAATCCTTCACCGTGCCTTGCTAGCCACAATTGGCTTAGTTCACGTAATGTCTCATTGCTTACACATGCCCATCCGTATTGTATATCACAACACTCATGAAAGGTAATAATCATGACACATTGGATTCGGCATAATCCCACTCAGGTGACTCTCCCAGAGAAGAGAATACATTACTTTGCGGTACTACTTAAGTATACCAACCGTGACCTTTGTCCCCATGCACTCTTAGTCTATTTGAGCTCATGATTAAATGGAAGCAACTCAAGTATCCAACAGCTAGTTATGGTCCCCATGTTTGAAAGTGTCATGATTCGAGGGCCAGGTACTAGGGCAACTATGTTGTACATATTATCAACTAATGAATTTAGGGGGAGAACTCCTACTAGCTCTATTTATAAGTACATTGTTGATTGGAAAGCTGCAAATATATTTACTGATAAACAAACAGGCAGCGTCAAGATGAACTTCAAAGATACACCCTTAAGAATCCACCGTAACCTAACCAGGGCCCAAAGCAGTGTCGCCATTCAGCCAAGGAGCGAGCATATCGGACTCAATTCCTACCTGAGCAGAAGAAAAGTACCCGGAGTAGAAAAGCCAAGCTGTCAATGTGGATATCCGTCGCAAAACGTCAAGCACATGGTGCTGGCGTGCCCGCAGTGGGCAAATGGAAGAGGCGACTTTCTCCGACAAGCTAAAGACAGGTCATTTGAAGCAATGATGAACAGCCCAGAAGACATGGCTAGAATTACACAGTGGATACTAAACAAACGGTGGATAAAACAGTCTCGACTTGCAGGGGAAGTCGAGGTAGCAATGTCGGATAAAGTAAATAGATCTGGAAGGGGAGAGGACGGAATCCACACGGGCTGAACAGTGTACACTGCACTTCCTGAAGGTAAACCAAATAAGTTGATAGGAACATAAAAAGACAGGATCAGGGGGTTCTCACCTTGTTGTTTTTCTCCTTTGTAATTAATATAGATAGTAACCTGCATGGACCCATAGGGTGCCTGATCGGGTTAATTGAAATCAAATTCAAAATTCTAAAGTACATTGTTGAGAAGGCAAATATTGAACACCTGTACGCGCTTTCCTCTACAAACCTGGGCGTGAAATACTCTCCCAGAGCCAAGTTCAGTCAAATTTCGCAATATCAAAGAAGTTGGCCCACTAGGCAAAATTTCAAATTGCTCCTCCACGTCAAATTTTCACTCCCAACGAGTTTGACTCCTATCTAAGTTTCATCAAGTCTACGAGTACGACCAAGTACATCCTCATTCCAATGACCACACCTCTCGTCAACTATTCTCTGGCCTCAGTTGACCACCATATACACGCCCACGCTGATATTTACACCGGACGGAGGAAGCAAAGCGTGGCGCACAAATCTGGGAGATAGCTCTTTGGGATGGACGTGAGAGGGATCAGGACAAGTTTACAAGATGATGCAAAGGAAGGATATTACCTCGAAGGGTGTGAAAATTCGAATTTTGGCAAGGAGTTCTTACGAATTGAGCTTTGCGCACACCAAGACTTCGCTTGCAAGAGTGCAGCTGACACTATAAACACAAGCAAACGATAGAAGGTGCTGTGGTCCGCCTCCCGGTGGTTATATCTGGTATAGTTTGAGTAGTCTGGGCACCTACTCCACTTGGGAGGTAGACGCCTCAGATCGCATTTCGCGCGGAGAAAAGTTGATGGATGACGGAGACATGTCTGGATAACTAAGGGTTTTTAAGACGTTCCCCTGGGTGGGTATTCACGGATGAGGGTTGACTTGGGGTGAAGAAAAAGCCGCCATAACTTCGCAGTGGTACTTGCAAATGAAATCCGAGGCGTGAGTGTTCTGTTTTTACATTAAGTCATCTATTCTGTACTTTGTCTGATATTGTGTCATAGCTAGAGAGCTGCATACGCAATTAAAATCTGATGCAAAAAATGAGAGCTGGTATGAGTCGAGCTTGCTTACCCTGCGTTCTAGAACTCTGCAGATCCAGTCCTTAATCATGGCGCATTATATCACGTTTCTGGCCTGAGGGATGGTGGTCGAGATTACCGATCTGAAATAAATGTTGCCTGGGGCCGGCAATAATATTCGCATGCAATAGCGCCGAGGCTATCACTTTTTCTCGCCCGGGGCTTCCGCTAGTTCCGGCCATCAAGCCAATCTAGACGCCTTGATTACGCACAGTGGCCTAGTTCGGAAAAAACGACACAAAAACATTAGGAGCATCTAAAAAGACAGTCCTAGCGTGATCGCCAACATGGAGCGCTAGGCACTCGACATAAAGCTGGCAAAGCGACGCGGATGCACTTGGCATAGCCGATATGAAGAGAAGAGTGTATGTCACGGCTCAGACGAGTATTCCGCGATCAGACCATCCTCCTCGGCCCCTCCAAGCCCAAATCCACATAGCACACCCAACCCAGACGCTGCCTGCCATTGCCCAGAAGGTCGCCGCATAACATGCCTGACCATGACAGAGTAAACTTCCATACCCCCCATATTTATTAGCGAAATACTGATAGACCCAGGAGTAGATGAGGCCCCAAAACGTAGCACCAAGAGCTGGAACCATCGATACGATACCCCAGCACGTCCCAAAGTTGTCAACACCCCAAATAACACTGATGATGAGCGGAGTTAAGCTAAATAAGGCACCGTAACCTGAGCCGATGAGGATAGAAATGATCCAGAACCGCTCAATGTGAGTCTGTACGAAACCAGCGGCGAGCAGAATTTGGCCGAGCGAAAGGAGAATCGTTGCACCTATCAAGAGCGTAAGGCGTGAGATAGTGAAGCCTGAAGAACTAGAATTAGGGGCCCGGGGCGCTATGAAATCGGGGAGAGTGCCAAAGATCAAGCGAGTGAGGGTCGAAGCGCTATTGACAATTGATATGTGCGTTGCTGCCGTAGTTGAGAGAGGATCTGACTGCGAAGATGCTGAGCCCAGTGTACCCAGAATAGTACCAAGGTTAGTAACAAATGCCTCACTTGGCCCTGACACCATGAAGAAGCCTGCCATAAGCCACCACATAGTGTGATCCCGGAGAAAACTCCGGATCTCTTCGTTGAAGCCCCATACGTATCTCCGTACCGTTGAATTTTTCATGTCTGATCTTTGTCCAAGATTTGCCGACTGATCGACTGTATGATCCTCGTGTGAGCCATAGCCTTGCCCGTCACTGGGATGACTTTCCAGCAGAGCATTTCTTTCAGATTCCTCAACAGCGTCACCTTCAGCGTCGTCTGCATCGAAAACTCGTAGCAGGAATCCGCCCATGAAGCCGACCAGGGAAATGGTGATGGCCAGAAAAATGAAAAATTTGAAGACGTCCACATCTCCCCTCTTCCCGTCGGACCGTCGTTCATAGAGTAATCTACTTCCTACCTGGCTCTGCCACAGTCCGCTCAAGCCCAGCGCGGCAAGTGGACTAGCCATTGCAAAGCCTTTGTACCGACTCTTTTCAAAATTCTTGGCGCAGTTGGTGAGCGCACTCAAGTACATCAGCGTAGTCCCCAATCCAATCAATACAAAAGCAAATACCATGACCCCGACCGGCCATCCGTGCGTTTCGCTCATATCATGTGTATTTTGTGCCCCACCTCGATAGGCAAAGGCGGCCAGGAGATAGCCAGCTAAAAAAAACATGGCAGATATCACAGAAACGGGTGCAGGTCCCAAACGATCGCATAGGTAGCCACTCCCAGACACCGGGAGATATATCGCAATTTGGGCCGCCATTGCCACCATGTTGACCTGCATCTGTGTGTATCCGAGTCTTTCCTGAAATAGATGACCGTACAGCGAATACGCTGAGATGGAGCCAGCGCAGAGGCTAGAGGCTATCGCTGAAGCAAAAGAGGCGTAGCGTGCAACATTGTGCTTTTGATTAGTTCCTTTCCCTGTTATTGCGCAAGTGGACGAGTTCTGATGGTGTTGAAGGTTCATAGTTTGGCGGGAAAGTTTGAGGCGAGATCTGTTCATTTAATCCAGTGATGATTGCGTGACGAGCATGGAGGCAACGAGATGTAGGTGGTTTGATGGACAGAAAGAGCTTGCGTCTCGACGAGACCGTGCACAACTGTTGGCGCATTCGTTATTTTAGCCAATCGGAGAAATACTTACTGTAGTCGGCCATCACATGCCGATCTTTATTGTAATCCTAGTGGAGTCCAGCAAGTAAGTTTGTTCGGTAACAATGATGCACCAATGTCGGAAGGAAGCAAAAATCATGACCGACTAGAGAACAGGCAGAAGAGGGATCATCTACAGAAACACACCCTCAAATATCCACCGTAACCTTAGCAGGACCCAAAGTAATATCGCAATACAGATGAAGAGTGAGCACATCGGCCCCAACTCTTATCTACATCGAAGAAAGGACTCCAGAGAGGCAAATTCAAGATGCCAGTGTGGATATTCGTCCCAAAATGTCAAACAATCAGTCTTGTCTTGTTCGCAGTGTGCTAAGACAAGAGGAGAGATGTAGCGACTAGCAAATGATAGATCCTTTGAAGCCATGATGAACAGCCCCGATGATACGAAGGAAATTACAAGTGGATACTTGATAAAGGCTAGTTTGAACACTTCCGGTTTGCAGACGAAGCTGGGAAAGCAGCAAATGAAAGTATAAAGCGATCGACAAAATGATAGGATGGAATTCACACGGAATGGAAATATAAAACGCTTTTCCTTGAGGATGGTCTAGAAATCCGATAGAAAAAATAGTTAGGATCATGGAGTTTTATCGAATTGGATTCCTCTATAAATATTGTAATTTTATATACCTGTGTAGACCGATAGCGTGCCCGAACGAGATGAAATGAAATCAAACCCATTGATGGCCATCATCAGGTTTCAATTGTGTATGACGATTTATTTTGAGTAGATCATAGTGTTTGCAGCTTAGTAGCTATAACAAATGGTAAGTGCTCTACGTGAATATTGGATAACTGTTTTGACATTAGACACTCACATTCCGGATTCATTCCCAGTTACCAATATGAATTATATCTGATTATACAGAACTGTCGACCCACCTCCGTATGTACTTACTAAAGGGAAATTCATAGGCTTTAGCTACCTAGACCCGTTGGGGTATAAAAACTCAATACCTATCAATGGTGTCCCCTTAATTGGTTCAGCTATCACTACAGAGTTTGCAGAGCCGGGTTTGAATAAACCTTCATCCTCATTTTCATGAGGATTCCCAATCGCTTTCGCGGTCTGTATCGTCTTCGTCTCTTAACACAACCCCATATCACCATTATTATGAACCTGACCACTACCAGATTAGAAGGTTGTGTTGAAGCCCTACTCATCACCTACACTTGATCGTAGAGGAAAAGCCATCCGATGAGTTTCCAGAGGGTACTCAGTGCCCGATACGACGATGGTGGATTGGATCAAGTTGGATTCTAATGTTACAAAGAAGAACGCTATAGGTGAATATGCATACCTTAGGTGACCCCGGTGTCTAGGCCTCGCCTGGCTGGGGCTATATATTTTTTTGAGACTTTTTCCCGCGCACGCAGTTTCCATTGCTACTATTTTTAGTTTTTTGGTAGAAGGATCCTTGAAAATGATGGCTGAATTCCATGAGTAATTTCTAAGCTGAATGGCTATTCATCACAGGCAATATATTAGAGATCTTTCAAGTAACAAAAGAGGATAGGAGCACTGTACAAGGTGTTGCCTGTGTCATAGAGTAGCCCTATATGCTAGCTAGTCACAGAATCAAGTGGTGCTCTAAAGACACCTCTCTCTCTCAAGTTCTAATAGGGATGCGCTGGGTGCCAATTGCCTATCACTTTAATTGTCGTGATATCCCGTTCCCATGAGTGTGTATGAGCTATGAGGTATCACATGAGCCAAGTTGAGTGTGGCTAGCGAGGCACAGAGAAGGATTAGCCGAATCGCACGTGCAGGGTATTATGAACATTTCTCTTGTAGACATAGGATATAAAAGGCAACGTCTCTTCCATTCAGATCATACGCCGGCAAAGACGAATTCTTCAACTTGCAGTGGTTCAGGTGTAATCTTTCGGTATGCTCTGTATATCTGGGATAGCGAAGACGAATCCCATCCGAATCAAAGTTGAAAGCAATCTCAAGCATATCTAAAATCGACAACTTCTTGACAATGGATTGATCTATCGTTCTCACGCGAGTTCTCTACCTAAATCTTACTACACTACCTCGCCTTCACTTCTGATAAAAGCGTTACTCTAGTTGCAATTGGGAATTTGCCCCTTCGAAAATCGGCCATCTTCTACTATAAAGTTATGATGCTATGTATACTTGCAAAGAGAGAGCTAAGTCGTAATGTACAAAATCTCAGGTCTTGATCTATAGGGGGACCGTAGCTCTAGTGGGTCATTACGTCTCCAGGGAGGACAGGTAGCTGGGACGTGGGACGAACGAGTGAAGAGGTCACAAATAGGCATGCTCGGACGCACACTTTTTTGAGTGATTTCGACTTACAAGTGTCTGTGGACGCAGAAACAACGATCTCGGATAGTGCAACCGACACCCTAAAAATAGGCAACGATGGAAGGTGTTTTGGTCAGCCTCCTGGTCGTCATCTCCCCGAACTGATGTTTGGGTAGCCTGGACACCTATCTCACTCGAGGAAAAGATGACTGTGTTATGGAATCAGATGTAGATTTGTGCCACGTGATATTCGGACCCTAACACGTCACTCATTCTGTATATAGCTAAACGGAACTCGGCAAGAGTTCCGTTTCCTCTTCGTAGACAATCTGTCTCACTAGATTTGACCTCGTCCATCTATTTTACTTTACCGTGACAGACTGTGAGTCTTTATCTCGCACGGTAAATACAGACAAAATGGCAAAGGCATATCAGGGTAGCCAAAGGTTTTCCTGTTTTCCCATTGGTGGATATTAACGGTTGAGGGAAGAGTGAAGGTCCCTAGCACCAAGGTCTCGAGTGGTATCAGCGAATGCGCACACTACATGAGTAGACCAAATGTCAAACTGAGTTATCGTCGTATATAGTAGTCGGGGAAGCTAGTGTTCTCCGCGTCATGCTCTTTGAGTGCAGGGCTTGAGTCAGTCACGAATAAATATTTATTCATTAATATAGATCATACATAGAGATAATTCTCACATCATCCTACCTTTTCTGCCCCACATATTATCAAGGTTCAGACTCCAAGGCGTTATACCTAACCTCATAACCACAATGTTAATGAATCAAATCAAATCAAATGCAACTGATATTACCCTGCACCATCCAGCTATTGCGATGTTTACAATTACCCCTACAATCACATAGTCGAAGGCTTGGCGTGTGCAAATCTTATTTTGAAAATCTCCATGCTAATCATCAACTTCTCACTTCTTTCGAGGGTGTATCAAAAGTTTTCGTTATCTATTCTAATTTGTTTGAATCTTTTTAATCTCCATTCCTAAACCATTGCTGTCAGATTTATGAACTACGGTTTGTTATCTCCAACGGGTATTCGTATTTTTGTGGACGTGTATTCGGAGGCCAATTGAGACTAAGAACTGAGTCAACGAAAGGTGTGGTCATATAGATGAAGATATAAGAAGTAGACCATGTTAACATGTTAATATTTCCATCTTGATATCAAACCGTATAAACATACCGTAGAGTATTAACTCATATTGATACTCAGAATTGCGATGGATAGCAGAGATTGATAGTGTTTATGGCAGTGCGGGGCTTGGTAATTGTTGACAGCGATAGGACACGTGCATCTTTATATATATATATATATATCGCGCACTTAACTCCTCTTTAAGATGATGGTGTTCCCGACTACATTCACAATGCCCAAACCTATTCTGGGCTAATCAACCCTTGATATATCGGTCCTATCTTCTAATAAATGCCTTTTTGCCCTTTTATCTTAAATGACAGGTCATGATATTCTTCGTCTTGCTGGCAATCATCAAGCTCAGGGTTATGGACAGATTAAATCTTTAACAGAACATGTTTGCTTGGTGATACAGTAGTATAAGACTATCTAATTGGAAGTGCAGATTTGATAAAGTTGGGGGTATTGAATCATTACCTCATGAGCCAACTTCTTCAGCATTGCGACATTTGGCTGAACATGGTTCTGAGGGAGCATTTCACTCTCAGGTTCGTAGACACTGCGAATAAGTGTTACGGGCTGTGCCCAGTTCGGTAAGGCTGGGCTTGAAAGATAGCCCAGCCTAGTATACGTGAGGTTCCTTGTGGATTAGCATGTGTGAAAAGTGAGATAAGCTTAGCTTTGAGATGGCGTAGGTTACGGGTGTCTCATGGCTCCAAACTACTAATATATATAGTTGAGCTTAAGACTAGATGTAACTTGGTTTTCTATTAATACCGGGTATCGTCTATATAAGTACAGTATTCCTTATCTTGCGCCCGGACTCCAACATGAACAACATTACATAAGCATTACAATTCATCAGAGCCTCGTACTAATCTAGAGGTCTGTCAATCTTGGATCCTCATACGGACACTAACCACGTGATCTTTAGGAGAGTTCCTCCCATATCGAATCACTCAGTTAATTGTGCTGAGGCTGGTTATCAGATCACTCAGTAGTAAATGAATACGCGTCGGGAAACCGGGTCACTGGTGGCTGCAGCGGGCGTATTTAATTCAGAGAACTTGCTGTAGTAAATCTCTACAGAAAAATATTAACTCATTGTAGTACTATTTACGTGCGGTGTCCGTAATTCTCCTGGCCCTTAACAATAAGTATTTAATCCTTGACATCCCGATAACCACATTATGCTCAGTGACCTGTATAGAAAAATTCTATTTTTTTGAGTACCACTACAGGCAATCAGGATTTAACAAGGAGGGCAAAACTGAGCACCTGTACGCGGTGTACTCTAAGAATCTGGGAGTGAAATATTCTGTCAGAGCCAAGTCCATTCAAATTTCGCAATCCTGTAGAAGTTTGCCCACAAGCCAATGGTTCAAAATACTCCGCCAAA